GGGGGGGGGTGGAGTTCTCCGCTTCAGGACAGATTTAAGTGGATGTGCCCCCTTTGCACCGAGGCTCTTTTGAATTAAACAATTGAGCAACACGGCTGATTTTATTTTCGTTTAATGCGTCTGATCAAATGAAATGCTCCTGCAGTGATATTATCAGGCCAGCTCTCTGTTTTTTTTCAGCCTGTTTGGAGTCATAGTGATGCTATAAAGGTCTATTTGTTGCTTATTGTCTGTGGGTTTCTTTTTTGCAGAGACCAACAGTTCAAGATGAAAGTAATCAGCGCCGCAGCGCTTGGCGTCCTGTTCTGCACCGGTAAGCACAAACATAATCAGTCACATGGGAGAAATGAAAGTTTGAACCAAACTTCCTGCAAAACTAAACTTGTTTGAACTTAATTATCAGCAAAGGATCTTTAAAGATGCACAATGGAAGCCAAATTATGCTGTGATGGGTTGCTCTTTGGCTCTGTTTGCTTCCTTCCCTTTTGAAAAGAAAAGTTGTTTGCACATCCGGCTTATTTATAGCCATCATGGCGGGAGGCATTTGCATTTCAACTGTCTCCAATTTGCACGTAGAACAAAAGAACTGATTTGTTTTTTCTTTCTTTTCCTTCATAGTTGTGTCAGCATCTTTGAAAGGTAAAACCGAACGCACGCTGTTGTTAATGCGTGAGTAAAACAACGCTTCCTGGGGTCTAACAGCTTCTTGTTTGTTGCAGTCAAAGAGGAGCACCGGACGGCCTTCTTCGGCGAGGACGTTCACATCGTAGTAAGTTCTGGGAACGACTTGGAGGTGGTGTTCAAACCGAGGACCAATCGCTCCTATGAGGTGCCTCTCATGCAAGCGGGCCAGGTGCTCAATCAGTCCAAGGCCGAGCTCAACCCTCTGGGCCACCTGGTCCTGATGAATGTGCAGGAGGAGGACGAGGGCATGTACGTCATCAGAAACACCAGAAACCCCAACACGGTCAACCACCTCATCCTCATCGTCAGGGGTGAGCTTCCTGCCGCCGTCTCCTCCGAAAACTCTGAGAGGGAAAACGTTCAGCTGCTGGGAGGCTGAGTCTTTATTCACGGCTTTTGTCAGAAAGAGGAATAAAGAAGCTTATTTTCATTGGTGGGAATGTTAATTAGCACCAGACTATAAGGAACCAGACTTTAATCCACCCAAATATCCTGAGTCATAAAGAAGCATTCTACTTTTTTACTGACTAAACTCCCCTCATGATCGGTTCAGATGAATTTAAGAGGGATTTTCTGAGACAAACGTGAGGGAGAGGAATCTGATTCACTAAGTAGCACGTTCCACATGTTCTATGTCTGTTAACTTTTACAAAGTGCATAAAAATGGGCCTCTGACAAATGGAGAAACGATTAATCTGACAGCTGCCTGCCCAGGGCTGTAATTATAAAAATTTTAATCCTTTTTTGACCCAAAACAAATGAAATAATTAATTCCAACACATAATTTACAGGTCAGAAAGTCACTAAAAGTTTGCCAATCAGGATGTCTGCGTCTTTGTCCATTCCCAAAAATCCAATCATGGCACAAACGAGTAAAATATTAAACACTTTACTGTTTCTCATGTGACACAAGTGACAAGCTGATTTTTTCTTTTATGTTTCTGTTTATACATGTAGCAGCCGCTAAAGTAAGTTTTTGAGTTTTAATAGCAAAGCAGCAACACAAACCAGAGGGCAGAGGTGTTTTTCTCCAACTCTGCGAGTCAAAAGTCAACAAAACAAGCATTTTCAGCATCCATGAACATTGATCGCAGCATTTGAACCTGTCAGGCAGACTGAGCCAAAAACAGCTCAGACATCATATTCTGGTTTCTAGAGATGTTGTTTACGGCTCAGCAGGAAAAGCTTTCAAACCTCAAATGTGCCTCAAAGGCAAATCTGAGTGCTTGTTGGTTGCAGCAAAACTCACTGGAAGCTTGTTTTGGTTCTCACACAGTAAAGCAGCAAAGTTCTTTTTAATTACAAAAGCATTTCCATAAGAACAGAATGAGGACCCGGCTGTTTCTCACTGACTAAAGGAGTTATATCCTGAATAATGAATTAAGTGGAGCTGCTTGGAGACTTAAAGCATCCGATCTCTGTGCAAACCTTATTCATGCGTTATAAATGATGACATTCGATAGGAATGTTTTTTAAAGAATGCAATGCAATACTCCAAAGATGTTGGATTTCTTAATGTAACCACAGAATGACCTCATACGAATATTTTGCAAAAGGTCAGTTTAAAATGATCTGAACGTTAGCTGTGATTAAAAGAATATAAAGCTTTGTTTTATCCACGTTGAGGAGGACAGCCTTGACCCCAGTGGGATTTTTGTCTCTGCTTATTTCCTGGCAATTTAGTAAAGAATTTGTTAAGAATCCTTGGTATTAAATGCGTCAGATATTTGCTGTCTTTCTGAATAAACAACCCAAAAAACACCAATTCTGAAATAGTAGGTGCAAGAAAACTGAGTTATTTTAGATTCTGAAGACTTAAAGTTGGGGGATATGCCACTGGTCCTCTCTACAGCCCAACAAAGTCACACGCACTTGATGTTTGACCCTTTTGTTCCTCTTCTGTTGACGAGCAGACTGCGCCCTGGAGGAGACAGTGAAGTATGGAGAAACCTACATCATCCACCTCCACCACATCGAAGGCCCCATCACCCTGGAGTTCAGGTATTTTGGCTTTACGTCGGCAGTAATGAGGAAAGAGTTGGGTGGGCTGCGGCTTTTCGTTTTGGATCAGGGGAATAAGCAGCCTGTGCTCTCTCTGTGCCAAAGGCCCAGTGCGGTGAAAGCCAATCAGACGGATGCGGCGCACGCCCCCGAGCCGCCCGCCACCGTGCTGTTCAACGGGACGGCGGTGCTGGGCGACTACGGCCGGCGCCTGAGGGTGTCGGAGAAGCGGGTGGCGCTGCACTCGGTCAGGATGACGGACGAGGGGAGCTTCACTGTGCTGGACCGCGACGGCCACGCCAAGATGAGGAACTGCCTGAACGTGAGAGGTGAGCAGACGCCCGGGCTCCCAGCGTCCCCTCAGCTAGGGTATCTGCTCACTGTGAGCCGCCGGCTGTGTGAGGCCTCATGGTTCTTCCACAGTATGCAGTTTCCCATTTAGACGGACATGAACTCTGGGTTTCAGGTTCTTTGGATTTTGCTCTCGATTTGTTGACTTTTCCCTTCAGTTTTGCTCATTTTACTCTCTGGGTTAGGACCTGTGTTTGTCGTTATCTTCTTTTTTGTTTCAGTCATTTTTCTGTCTTTTTGCGTCCTGTTTCATTGTATTGTCTTCCCAATCTCCTCTCCTTTTTTCCTCTCCTCCACGTTCTCTTTGTCTTCCCAGTACTTTTCCATCCTGCTCCCTGCATCTCTCTGCCGTCGGCTCTCTTTAATCACAAATCCCCCTCCTCTGCATCTAAGCTCTCCAGCTTCTCTCATTCCTTCTGGGATCCTCGTCAGTCTCTCTCCTATTGGTCCTTTCCCTGTCTGTTATCCACCATTTCTTTGTGTTCTTCGTTCTTTGCTTCTTAACTTCCATGTTTTTGGTTTTGTTAGATTCTCACATGATTTTTTTGTAATCCAGTTCAGGTGGGTTTTAAAAAAAAATCTTTATAGAAAAAATGTTAGTTTTCCCAGGTCCCCCAGTGGGCTGGGTCCTGCTCCATGCACCCCTGAATGTTGCATAAGGTCAAGATGGAGCCTTGGAACAAAAAACATACCAATTCATTAAATGCATAGCCACAGGTTGGGCTAAGAAATAGAGGCTAAGCATCATCTAGTTTTTTGCTTATTTTCTCCAATCATGTTATTTACTGTATAACCACTGTTAATGGCATTCTACTGTATTCTAAAGTGCCAAAAATGGCACGTATCTTTATCAATCTATCTATCTGTTCTTGAGAGGTTTTTCAGTCTTTCTACTTGAAATGCAACTCCTAAGTTAATGTTGATCCACTCCTCTGGCTTCTAAAAGGATCAAAACCCTGATTTAAACAATTTTATTGTACAATAATCATGTTTTTATCTGAATTTGATGTCGCTCGGCTCAGCTAGCATCCTTTTCTGTGTATTTGCAGATATCAGAGAACCTTGTTGTGGCTCTTTGAAACCTGTAAATTAGTTGTGACAATGACTGAATTTACAGGAAGCTTTTCCTTTGTTTCAGATCACCAGACCTTCCGCCGTTACACTGAAGGAGCAAACCTGGAGGTCAAGCTCTACCAGCACTACTCCAACGTCAGCGTGGTCTACAGGCCCAAGTCAGACCACCAGGACCGAGTCATTGTGGACCAAGGGGTTCTGGTGACCCCGGTGGACCCTCAGCTGGAGGGCCGGCTGACGGTGGAGGGCTCAGAGCTCTTCATCAAGAAGGTCTACCCGTCAGACTCCGGCGTCTTCAAAGTGACCGACCTGGCTGGGTTTCCCGTGGCCCATTTCTACCTAAATGTTGAGCGTAAGCAAAAAGGGTGTCGGCCGCTTCAGATTTATGTGGGTGGGCCTGTTGTTTTCATCACAAATTAACTGTTTTCAGAGCTAATGGTAAAAAATATTAAATGCAGCGAGCACAGAGGGTGCAAACTGAGGCGGCCGGTCCCCCAAACCAATCGTCCTCCTTGATGAGGGTCCAAACACTTCTGCTCTGTCATCTTTTATCTTCAGCCATAAATGAGTTGCTGCATCATAATCCCACAGATTGTTGTTTCATCTTCTCCAAAAGTCAGTGATGCTCATTATCTTCTACACATTCTCTGGTTTTGTTTCTAATTTATGAATATAAATTAACATATTGGGGAATAATGCATCGGTTATTCTGAAAGCCGGCTGGTTGTGCCTGTCAGAGACAAACCACAACTCGACCCCCATCAGCAGCTTCTGTCCCTGTGGTGATTCAGGATAGCAAATGTCAGACGTTTTTTGGACAAATCTGTCGAAGCGGCTCTAAAAAAGAAATGTTTTACTATTCAAATTTTCCAACAAATCAGTGTTTCTCATTGTTTGGTGAAAAATGTTCATTTAGGCTCTCTGTCAGGGAGGTGGGTCTTGGTGGAGGACTCAGGCACGGAGATATGTGAAAAAGGTTTATTGAAACAAAAATGCACGCACAAGGAGTGGATGGCAGACACGGGTTCAAAACAAGCCTGTGGCAAAATTAAGAGCAAAGTAACAAAGCAAGGAAGACAAAACTATGAACAAAGTACCAAAGCAATAAAGTTAACAAAACTGTCGCAAAACATGGCTATGGAACAAAGTAAAAAAGACTGTGGCATGACTGTGGCAAAAATCAAACCTGGATTGACATGGGGGGCCAAAAGCAGACATACGAAAACGCACTCGCACAGGACATGGGAAACGAGGACTATTTAAACACATGAGGGAGGGGAACCCCAGGTGTACACAATAGGTAATCAACACATGACGAGACACCAGACATTCCCCCAGACGTGACACTCTCAACAGAGAACAAAACTAAACATTTGCTGCATATCTTTTAGGATGTGGCTGATCTTAAATATCTAATAGAGTTTTTATGTAAAAAATCTCCTAAAATCATTGAGATCTTCCCCTGAAGATGAGATTAAGTGCTTTTGAATTTTCTTTTTTGAGCGCGGACTTCTAGCTAAATACATTCCTGCTCTGATGTGACATCAAGAATGTGTTTTATTCTCGCCTAACAGTTTAAATTGTGAGGGGAAGTGTAAAGGGTAAATTATAGAAACTCAGAGATGGTTAAACTAATGGCTGTTCAAACATGTTAAGGTTGATAAACTAGAGACTCGGATGGCAGAATACCTGAAAACGGGGCAAAAAGGGAAAAAGAGGACACCCAGCTGGGGTGAAACATCCCTGCAGTCACAGGAGGCTCATTATTATTTTTTTCCCTCCCGTTTCAGCGCACAAGCTGCCGCCGCTGACGGTGGCCATCCTCTCCATGCTGGGCCTGATCGCCTTCATGCTGCTGGTCTGCTTGGCGTCCTGTCTCTACAAAGTGCATGAAAGGAACGAGAAGAACAAGAAGCTGATGCTCCTCGCTCAGCAGGCCGGCAAGGGAGACGGCGAAGCCTTCAGACAGGTAACGCCGAGCCGGCGCGCTCCCGCCTTCACCTGAGCAAATGCTCAGATCGCAGCTCGTTAGGCTGCAGAAGCCTAACCGGCCTAATGCGGGGCAGTTTGATGGGATAGAACAGGGCTCTGCTCTCACTGTGGGAGGCAATACGGTCAGCTGGTCAACTTCCTGCCCTACAGAGCTGGACCTGATGAGAAATCACCTCAGTGCCAAGGCTTAAGAGGCCAAGGAAAGGCTTTTTTTCCCCCCAGTCCTAACCTTTTTTGTTTTTGCTGTGAATGACAAAGTCGTCGCGTTGACCAATAACAGCTATTAAATGTTAACGGAGTAATGCAAATCCCCGTAAAGTGAATTAGTTTGTGCCGCTTAAAGTTTTTTAGGAGTAATTTGTCACTATAGTCATAAAAAAGGCCTGGGCTGGAGATTTAAATGTGAAAAGTCAGGAAGCCAAGTTTTTGTTTTTATTCCTAATGAATGTTGATATCAAACCGCTCGCTAGCAGCTTTCAGACAATAGGTAAATCATGGTTGCTTCAGCTCATAAAAACACAGTCTGAATAAACAGGAAGTGCAGCAATTAAAATCAATTTTATTAGTTTTCTTCCAGAGTTTTCCACCCACTAGGAAAAAGAACCCATTTTGGTTTGATTAATTGCCCGTAGTTGATTGCAATATTGTGCCTTTAATTATTTTTGGAGGAGGCGTTTAAAAATAAATCAGTCTATCGGCAACAGAATAAAAAAAAACCTTTTGAGGTGAAAATGTTAGTTTTAAATGACATTTAACTGAATTATTTCACCCCTCTTTGCTCACCTTTTGGCTGATTAGCCGACGGATTTGGTGATTTAGGAGAGCCGACAGGTGACCCCGATCGCTCATGAGGAGGCACCTGAATCAATTAAAACCCCATTACGAGCAGAAGACTCACTGCTGAACACCTAAACATCAGACACAGACATTGATTTCTCCTCTGTGGGATGGGAGATCGATGCAAACCCCCGAATTGATGAGAAATATGTCCAGATCACTTGTGCGAGCCTTTAATAACAAAGAACCGAACGCCTCCGGTGCTGAAAATGTGACAGAACTCAGCATTTTGATGCACTTCCTGAAGGGTGGGAGTGATTTAGCAACACTTATGATTAGATTTTAAATGTGAGGGTGTTCGACGCGGCTCGTCCCCCTCGTTTGTCAAACAGACTCCCCACCAAATGATCCTTGAAAGTGATTGAATCAATGGACCAATTAAAACCTCGCTGCAGACAGACTCCTCGCTCATCAAAAACAACAACAGTCGCGGAGACTGATTGCTTTGCAGGGACTATTAGATTACACCAAGTGTTTGCAATTATGATGTGTCACATTACAAACTTTGATTATTAATGTGCCACTTTGGGTCGTTTTTGAGATGCAGGCTCATAAATCTTCCAAATTGTACAAATCGGAGGCCCTCTGCTTTCCCACCGGGTGTAATCCAATGCATTATGTTACGTTTAGTCAGTCGGTGCATCTTCATTGTGTATCGTCTGTCAACCTAAGCCTAAAAATGATGTTTTACACAAATAGAAATGCTGCTTTAGATGTCCCTCATTTGTATGAGCAGGGATTTTTCATTTTATTTTTTCAATATTTAAAAATCTGAGATGGTAAATGTGCCAAAATTGTTGTGTTCAGATGGAAAATGATTTACTTAGCTGGAAAAGCATGTGTGGAAAAGAGGCCTGTGTGCACACAGCTGCATGTGTGACGTCTTGGCCCGGCTAATGCTGTTGCATGTGCATTGCGTCTCTTCTTCTAACTTTAAGGAGCCTCAAACGGAGCCTCTTCTTGGTGAGAGACCTGTGTTCTTCCTGCCTTCTTTATTTTCTGCTCTTCCTCCTTCGTTCTTGGTGTTTTTCAAAGAGCTGTGCTGCTTTTGTGGCAAATAAGTTCCTTGATCAACTTGCTTTTGTGCAACTGGGCTCAGAGTGTGCGTGCTCGGCGTCGTCTGAAGCCGCGGCGCGCCTCAGACGACACGAGGACTTAATGAATCCTGCACACCAGAGAAACCGCAGCTGTCGGCCGTAATGAGCAAGCAGAAGTTGATCGAAGACCTAATTTGACAAAAAGTCAATTAATTCCTTGAAGCAGATCTGGCACCACGACTTGGAACAAACTGTCTCTGTAATCCTCACAGACTTGTCAGGATTCGTGTGACTGAGCCGCACGCAGGCGTCATCTTTTATTCGCAGTGGAAGTGAACAATGTGGGCTGGAATTCAGGACAGCAGAGAGCGATAGGGAGCTCACGTCCTAATCCAGCCGTCTAATGAGGCAAAACATGGGAAAAAAGGCCTGTGAAAAAAACGTTTTGGTGCCAGTTTGCTTTCTTACACCATGAGATGAGCATCTGTGTTTAATCGTATGGACATAAGTGCGCCCATGCTGTGTCTAACTCACCTTAGACAAGCTTGGTGTCGCACACAGTTTTGACTCAGACGTGCAAAGATTAAGAAAAAAAGTCAACTTTAGTAACTCGCTTGAATTGATTCAGTTGATCTTAGAGGTGTAGCTTCGTTTTGGCTTTGTTTGTGTGTACATCCGGTTGTGAAGTGACAGGAAACCTTCATTTTTAACGTGCCCCTCCATCCCAGTGGGGCTCGGGATGTTTGCCAGCCTGCAGAATCACGCACGGAACGGTAGGAGTTTGACGATCTAAGGCTTTCAGATGAATCTCAAAGGGAAAAAAGGGGGTTGTGAAGATGAATTACATCCATTTATCTATTTCTTTCTTTATTTTCTTAAGAAGATGACACATTTCTGAGGTCTCTCAGAAATGCCTTTGACATGTTTGGGCTAAATACCAAAGAGATAAAGTACAAAAGCTCCTTTTAAAGAGTAACTTCACAGCTGTGCTGACAGAGGCCAGTTTCGGGGTCGTCTGCACCCCTCTGCTCTGTGTTAAAAACACACATGTGTAAGGAGGGACTCCCCTGTCAGTCTTCTGAAAAGGAAACCAGCAAAAGGAACAAACAAACCAAGGCCCCAAAAGCCTACGAAGATTGCTGCACGAAACCGTGTCCCAGAACCAGAGGGCCAAAAGAAGAATTGTTGCTGATTCATTCGGCTTTTTGTAGCCATTTAAAACCTAATTTGTCAAGGAAGTTGGAATATGAAACATTATACTCAGAGCTGGTTGTGCAGTAGTAGATTATTTCTTCAGTCACATCAATTAAATTCACAATAGTTCATTAGCACCTGCCAATTAAATTTCTAATTTTATTATGCAACTCATTTAGATATTTTCAAACCTAGATAGCAACAAAATATCTTTTTTAATGACTTTATAGGGTATTCTCCCCCTTTAATTAACTGTTTTTGGATTTAGAAAGGATTGAAATGTGGAAACCTGGAGTTTAAATGGTGCATAAAGTAATTTTATAGTAGAGGATATGACTTAATTTATTTTGGTTAAAGGTTGGAAAATATGACGCATTCATCCTTGGGTACTCTAGAATGGGATTGTTAATTTATTTAGATTTCAAAGGATCATCAAAGTCGTAGTATTTATCTGCAAACTGCAGTCATGTCCAGAGGGGACCTTTGAGCTACAGACAGGGTGACCATGTTTGTTCCTTCTGCTGCTCCCGTCCCTCAAAGCTGATCCCAAACTCTAATAAACAGTACATTCTCATAAATTCCAACAATTCTGACTGTTTTGGGCGTCAGGTGCACATATTTCTAACAGCAGGTTGGTTTCACTGTGTGGAGGGACTCAGGTGCCCAGTTTGTGGATGTGGGTGTTGTCTTAGAGGATCAATTCAAACTTCTTGGGTTTGCTCCAAGTGTCTTTTTGTGTGTCTGTGTTTGTCAGTGTTGTGCTCATATAGGTGTGGAGTGATGCAAAATAATGTAAACAACATGATGATGGACTCTCCTCTGTGTGCGCTGCTTTATTATTTCCTCCTAACTGTCACCCGTCAGGAAAAATTAGACATGGAAAGCAGCTTTTCTTCATTTTGATGTCCACTTTTATGATTAAATCATGTTAAATTAATTTATTTGGTGAGTGTACTGTGCTATAATGATAATACGGCTGAACATACTCAGCAAATGTTGGAGTTGAAGTGATTTGTTAGTCAAATGTAATGTTGTGTTTTTAATGGTTGATATTTAACATTTAAAACCGTTTTTGTTGACTAATTTAGATTTATTATGGCATGAGTTGGTGCCCTGTGGGACCTTACCATTTAAAACTATAAAATGGGCTAAAAGCACAGAAAATCTAGTTTAATTTTCTTTTATGAAAAAAATGAGAATGAAATGTTTTGATGATTAGTTGCTGTAGTTAAAGAGTAACAGACTCTATAAGAGATCAAAACACTGGTTATTTCCCACCTAGGACGCTTTTCCTGGCCACTGACTGTCGGAAATCCTAAAGCAGCATGTCCTCGTGTCTCCACTGTGTGTCTGTGTGCTGTGTGTTTTTGTGCGTTTGTGTACTTTGGTGTGTTGGAATCCTTTTGCAGAGGTACTCCATTTGTGTGCGGGTGCGTTCGGGTCGTGTTGGAGCTTCTCGTGTGCTTCGTGTGACGGTGGAGGCTGAGATGACGTAGCAGCCGCTGTCGGTGGATTTTCTCATTAATCTCAGACAGATGTGAGATGACAACTTCAGCTCCGACATGGACAGGGAATCCAGATCAATCGTTAAAAACGCTTCATAGCTCCTGTGGTACTAGAATATATTCAGGGAACTCATTTTTTTTTTTAATGATTTTTTAATTGATTTATCTTTAGCAAAAAACACAGAAAAACATCAGTTTCTTGCTAAGTAGTAAAAACATTATGTCCAACACACAAAAAAAGTCCAACACAAACTTTGAGGAACACAAAGTTGCTCAAAGTTACTTTTTTGCACGGCTTAAAGTTTAATGATAGGAAGCGTTTATTTCCACTGCATATCTAACTGCACGTCTTTTTTCAGCGCTACGTTCTTATTTTTGAGCAGAATTTTGGTCATAATTTGTACCTCTCTGTTCAGACTGCACATCCGATCAATACCTGCCCCTCAGTCTCTGTCTCATCTCAGCCTCCGGCACAAATAAGAGAAATGAAGGCTTAGTGTCGTCCCACCAGTGCCCTCTTTAGTATTTAGGATCTCTGTGTGCAGTTTAAAGCCATCTGTGTGTGAGTGTTGACTCCTCCTGCTGGCGTGTTTTTTAACAATTTTTTTTAGAGCTTAGCCTCTAAGCTATTGCAGCCAAGTTTCAGCCTCCTCTGCATGTTTGCGTGTCTGTTTGTGTGTTTTTGGGTTTGCAGGTGGTTCACGAGGCGTACAGCCGCTTCACTGAGGAGTCCCTGATGCAGTCCGTTTGCGAGAAACCCTCCGAAGGCACCGAGGTCACCATCAAGGTGAGGGACGGAGCCAAGTCACAAACTACAGCTACTTTTCAAATGCCTCTTTCATAAATACAAAAATAACAACATTAAGATTCTTACTGTAAGTGAATACTGTAATGCTGCCAGCTTCCACTGTTTGAGTGAGTTTAGTGTATTTTTTTAAATCAATATCTGCTTTGCATGAGATGCCAGGAAGCATCTTTATGATGGACATAATGGAGAGTATCTCTTTTTGTCTGTGAGCTGAAACAGAGCTGATATCAAACAAACAGCCATCAGGTGGTTTTAAAGTGACAAATGCTGGAATTGTGCACCTCAGATGTGTTTTTCAAGATTATTTTGTAAGATACAAAGTCGAAGAATTCGTCTGTAATGTGTGAGGGAAAAGTTTTAGTCTTTGTAGTGAGAACAAAGTGTGGCTATTGTGTCCAAACGCTGATCACACCTGAGTCTTTCCTGGGAATTTTCCTCTGAAAGCATATCCATTAAAATCCAATATAAAGACAGAAGAATCATTAATCATCCTTGAGATTGGTCAGCAGAAACCGCCGTCTATATAACGCCACCGAAGTGCCAAGTGCAATTAAAAAGCAATCAACCTCACACTCTGCTGTCAGCAGTGGAGCAGATTAAAGTTTACAGGATGGACCTTCTGTCAAACTCAAAGAGGGGCACAGAAAGTAAAGAGCTGAGTCCAGGGAGCTTTTCGAGTTGTTCTGGTAGAAAGCTTCAGAGCAGAACTAAAGAAGTTGTCACAGATTTAAGCATATGAATATACATATATATTAAACTATTGTACATGTATACAAAAGAAAACGTCATCTAAAGTTTCTAAACTTGTCATGTATTTTATTTAGCGCCCTATAAAGTGGTGAATTCATGTAAAAAATGCCTTGAAATACAACAATACATGGTAAAGTGCCCTGCTTATATGTTCTGCTAAAGCTATGGAGGGAGTCTATTAAAAAGCAGCTGCACATTGAGAAGCATAAAGGCACAATCACATGTGTGAAAATCCTATATTTTCATGAGTTAATCGGACCTTTTTCTCCATAAAAAGACTTGATTGAGCATGATTAACCTCAGATGGGGCCACAAAGGAAACAACCAGTGAACTAAAAAATAAAATGCCTCCCAAGTCTTAATAAAACAGCAGAAAGGGAATGAAATTAACACAGCAGACTCCAAGTTACCAGTTCTTTAAGTTACATCCAGCAGGTTAGGAGACGAGTGAGTCGTCCAGGTCCTCAAAGTTCATCTATATCCTTCTATTTCCTAGAGTCCCTCCCTAAAAAAACAGCTGATGGATCACATGACCTGATGGGGCACTGTGCACCCATATTCAGCAGCATGGGGGTCAATTCTGGGTCTGAAAGCGAGATTTAGACATAAATGATGCTGAATTTAAGGGATTTTGTTGGGCATATTTCCACAACTATTAGATTTAAAAGAGAGCAGACTTATTCCCATTAGATGCACATGGAGGTGTCTTCTGGTACACGTGGACGTGCTCATGTGATTCATGTTTCTGTGTGTTTTTGTTGTGTGGGCCGTAGAGGAGTCGTCTATAAATACCACCCCAGAAACACGCCGGTGAATTATTCACCACGCTCTTTCTCTGACCTCCTTTTTAAAACTTTGCTCCCTTCTTTTTCCCCTCCACACTCTGCCCCCTCCATCTGTTTTCCCCATATCGGCTCGCCCCTCATTTGTTTTCCTCCACGCTCCCTGCATCCTTTCGCCATCCATTTGCTTTTCCTTCCATCTTTTCTCTGCAGGGCCTGGAGGTGACCAAACCCGGCCGCTACCATGCTCTCTCCTCAGATAACTTCCTGGAGATGAGCGACTCCGGAGTGGAGTTCACCAACTCCGGCCTCCCGTTGGACAGTGACACTGATGGTGGGATGACCTACGCCTCCCAGAAGCCCCTTCTGAATGCTGTTTTGCCCCCAGCCGTGACCGAGCCGGCCCACTCTGACAGCTTGGACGCCACCGCGGTCCCCGACGGCGACCTCAGCACCATCCGAACCCCTGACTCCGTCATGAGCGGCAGCCCGGCCTCCAACCCCCGCTCCTTTGCAGCTGCTACCCCCGACGGCAGCCTGCACGGCGCCGCAACCCCGGCTCTGGCCTCCGGGGGCACCGCCGAGTCGGAGGCTGTCAAAACGGAGGGCGACGCGGAGAGCGGAGAAGGGGGGCAGAAGGAGTAAGCGTCTCAGAGCAGCAGGGAGGAAGCACCGGGCTGCGTCTCATTGGTCCGCGCTCCCCCCGTAAACACCCACATGGCAGGAACCCCCATATCCAAACGTCACCTGGAAGCAGACGCCGCCTGGCAAACAAAAAGGCACAGTATTGAGTTTAATGCACTCCGCACAGATAAAATGAAACCCACAAAAGAGCTTCCCGGTGCTCCGCTAAAAGAACACAGCAACTTAGCGCCTACAAAATGCATGCAGTTCAATTTAAGACAAAAGAAGATTTCTTAGATCAGACCTAGAGGGCTGTGCAGACGTTAGAGTAGCCTGCATGCAAGCTTCACCAGGTACAAATAGGATTCCCAGCCTTTAGACGGTATAAACAGATTTGGACTCCTCTCAAAATGTTGCTTGAAAAAAAAAAGAAAAATGGAAGAAAAAAAAAGGAGATGACAAGGATTTGACGGATAGAGACGCAATGCTCGGAGGAGTCAGACAAAGGCTCCAGAAAGCAGCAGCAGAGAGGATCTCAGCGTGTTTCCTCTGACGGCACTTTTATCCACTCACTGACTGCATCAGACAAACGCCTGCATTTCAGCCCCCCCCCACGCACACTATTATTAACGGTACAAGCGTGTCAGGAAGCACCTCCACGTCTCGGACTAAATTGCTTGTTACACCGCTCATTCTTTGTTGGAGGGAACGCTTCTCGGGGCGTTCTTCAGATGGAGTAGCTGGAGCAGAGAGTGTCGGTGCCTGTTTTCCTCCCTCGTACATCAGGGGTCAAACCTGCCACATTTGAAGGCTTCATCCGAGAAGATGTGTCGAAACATCCACCACATCTCATCCGCACGAATGGCGAGTGCCAGGAAGGATGCTCCACGGCTACCGCCGGCCCCAGAGGCCTAGAGGCCCCCTCATCGCTTTTATTTTTCCCAGTCAGAGGGAAAAGAAGACACTCAACAACAGCGTGCGACCCCTCTGGGACGTGCAGATCAGCTCCTGAGAACGTAATTGGGTTCCGAGTCTCTTTGTAGGCGGCCAGATTGACGGACGCCGCAGAGAGAGGAGCGATAGAGGAGACGGAGGAGTGATAGAAGAGATGGAGGAGCGATAGAAGAGATGGAGGAGCGATAGAAGAGACGGAGGAGCGCGCAACTGGAGGAGCAGATAGATTGGTTGCATGATTCAAAGCCTCCCGTTTTCATCTCGAATCAATCTCATCCATTTCACGGAGCTCTGATTACTGTATCCCAGGTGTTTACGAAAAAAAAAGAGTGACAGGAAAGACGCAGCTGGAAGTGTCTGTCAACAAGAGGAGAAATTATGAGTGATATATTTAGAGATAGAGATATTTTAGTGTGTGTGTGTGTGTGTGTGTGTGTTAAACAAACCGGCCGGTATAAGGCAGTCGCAGTTCAGCCCATTAAAATGGGAGAGGAAGACGTTGTTGGACTGAATGAACCGGGAATCAGTAGTTAGGTTGAATATTGATGATGTAACAAGTTGAATGGGACCATTTGGAGCTCACCGATCAGCTTTGCTGCTGTTTGCAATCAAATGCTCCAAAGCTGGGACACTCCTGCCTCTTTTCCCTGATTCGAATTGAAAATGTCTGGAAGTTATTTAGGACTTCTACACTTCTATACAGCCCTGAAACAACACATGTTCAAAAGATACTCTACGACCACCCTGACATAGTTTAATGGAGGCTATTTGAGAGGAGATTGAATAGAAATGATTCAGCCTGACAGCTGAGTATGCGGCCATCTCACTCTTTTCATTCTAAAAGGAGCCACTGAAGTTCCTTTCTTTAACACTGACAGGGTGAACACTACTATTTGAATAATTCAGAGTAATTTTCTCAGTTTGGAACCATTAGTAAAGAAAAAACTCAGTGATTTTGCTTTCATTGACCGCAGAGTGATAGTTATTCTGACAGATGGGGCTGTTTTAAAGCCCGTGGACCTCATTTGTTTTTGAGTAATGAAGGCGAGGACCCCAAAGGGTCCCGCTTATAAAATGACAGGACAAAATGGACCAAATATCATTAAAAGTTACCTGAGAAATAGGTGGATGTTGCACATTGTCACTAAAACGAGGAAGAATTTGGTCAGATGATGTTCCAGTTACGAGACAAAGGAGGTTAGGGTCCTTATTCGGTTAATTACCTTTTTCCTACACACTCTTATTTAAGGTCCACTTCTGTCTGCACCTGATAACCATGAAGACTAAGTAGCGTCTTGACTTTTCCCCATTCCCACAATTAAAACCTTCAAATCTAATCTGAGCACTCCGGCTGAGGCCGTCATTGGAAATGAGGTTTTTCTGAGCTCTTTAGCATTGTGAGTTAGAAAAAGAATCCAGAGGCATCACAGGATTACATCAAGCTCCCTTTACTCACCATCAGCCTTCACAAAGCGACAATTTCTGAGAGACGAGGGTAGAAATAATGGAAGGAATCCCACTCAGAGTCAAGACGCTGAGGCCCTCGCCGTCCTCGCAACCAATTCAAACTAATTAGTTTCCTTCCTTGCTGCGGAAAAAGCTAATTCAGGTCACAGGAAACTCATTTCCACCTCTGAGCAATACGTCCCACCCAGCTGAGAAATCATTGATCACATCTGCCAGTCATAGCAGGGTTCCAGTGTCCCAGCGGCCCCATTTGTGTGTCAGTCAGTGTGTGGCCGTGCGTCCGCCTCACACTCAGCCGATGTCAGCCCTCTGAGGGTTACTGAGAGCAGTCTGACACCATCTTTCTGGGAGAGTAAAGCACAACATTTAGCACGGGATTCCTTTCCAACTCAGAAAAACTGTCCCGTTTTTACTAAAAATGGGTAAAAAATCAAATAAATAGGAGAAGCAGCTATTGTAAATATGATATAGTGACCTCTAAAAAAGGCTGCTTCCCTTCTTGTTCAGGAAAATCTTCCAGCATTGTGTGATCTCATTTGCAAACCAGACCAAGGTGTGTTTTTTTTATGCATGCAGGGAGTTATTTACTGAGTAGCCACTGAAAAGTGGCAGTGAAAACCTCTTAAAATGTACATTGTAAAGATGGAATTGATTTGAATGCGTTCTGATGGGTTGGGCTCGGTGAGTTTGCCCCAAACTCTGCCCCTCTTGCCCCAAAGTCCTGCATGTTTTCCATGTGCACTCGCTCCAAAAAAACCGAACGCAAACACACGTTTCAGCCCTCTGAGCTCGGCAGGTGAAGGCGTGCTGGAGCATAAAACACAGAAAACCTGCAGGACCGTCGGCTTTTGAAGAAAAGAGTCGGTGGACGGATGGTAAACGGATGATTGGTGGATTTTCTTATCAATCTGAAGCAATATTAAAGATAAGGGCGCAGAAACATCCCCACATGTGGCAGACGGTGCACACATACACACAGACCACTCGTAGTCGTCCAGCTTTCACTGCTTGTGTATATAAAGATATGTAGTCTGCATGTGAATCGCGTGAAAATACTTGTACGTTTCTTACTGCAAGGCTTATGCAAGATTTTTTTACTCTTCAAATGCCGAGTGATCCTTCTCCCACACAGCCGTGGTAGGTAGAAAACGTTGCCTTCAGCTGGGAATGCTCTCATCCAACTCATGATATGTTTACATGCTCGGGTCTCGGCGATGCGGCGTGAAGTCCTTTCATCAGAGCCGGCCTCGGCCGGGCTGCGGGGCGCCCTGACACGTCGGTTCAACCCGATCCAAAGCCTGCCTCCAAGGCCGGCCCCGTTTCAGGTCACTTTTGTGCTTTGCAGAGTACAAGGACCCAAATCCTTCGGGTTTAGTGCGTTTGTGGGAACCTCGGCGGGTTCAGGTGGCCGACGAAGGCCCGGTGAAAGGACTCCACGCCATCACCCACCCTGGCTCTGGTGTTTTCTGTCTCCTCACCGGTCCGAGCTGCCATTCAGAGCGCCTCCGTCTGCGAGACCTAGCCAACCGTTCCCTCAGTTTGATCCCAGTCGCTCTTCTGTTTAACCCACTCTTCTGATGGAAATTCACAAATTGACGTCTGCTGGCACTTCTGATTGAAGCAGGAAATTTGCTTCCCGCCAAATATCTTAATTACTGTCAATAACAGTTTGCGACGGAGATCTGGTGTGTTTTTTTTGGTGCTTTTTTTTTTACTCAATCCGGTTCAAATCAGAGGGTTTTATGATTGAATTGGGCTCTGCTTTTGAGTCACGACGGATCATTTGAGGAACTAATTGCACAGCACTTATCTCGGTGGCGCCGGGCTCTGCGCTTTGCAGTAAGTACCTTTTTCAGAGTAATGAACGCAGCCTTTGATTGCAGCTCGGCGGCGGCGGCGGTGCTCCGGGCTGTCCTTGTGAATCACTCAGAAATGCATTGAGCTTCTTTTTTCTCGCTGTCACACGTCAGTTCATCCCGGCCGCGGAGAATGTTTTTATACAGGAAAGAAGGAAGCAAGTGTATTTCTTAAATAATTTTGATATAATTTGTGTCTAAGCAACAAATCTACCCCTCCATCATTCAGCCCGCTCATTAGAAAACCTCCTCTCCTCTTTGAATGAGGGAGGGTTTCAATGGGAGGGCCTTTTGTGGCATCATGTTCCCTCCAGCTGTGCTCGGTGTTTCTTCCTCCTGATATTACAGCCTAAATCTGCTGCCCCATGTATTCCTAAGAGATAGTGTAGTGTAGCTGCAGCATGCCGACCTGTAGATTGCTTGTGGGACAGCAGGCTTCATAGCAAATAATGATCAAATGAAATGCACTTTTCTACCCCGCTGGCCTCCTGACTGCCTCCTGATCTCTGGTTTCCCACAATCCGCCCGCCCCAAACCGCCTTTCTCTGCTGGAGCTCGCCTCAGAACCTCAAAGATGAAGGTGAATATCACATGATTAACTACATGAAACCCTCTGCTTTCTTTAGAGCAAAGTTTTTTTCAAAATTTTAATCGTCGCGAGGAGTAAAAATGGGATGGAAAATAGGTCCAGCATTTGGCTCTGCTTTAGTGTGTAATGTTGCCAATTAAAATCTCTGGCACGCTGAGCAGTTTAAACCCACCAAAAGACTGATTTGATATTAAGGCTGTCCTTTGTGTGAATGATGCATCTGTCTCCCTTCATGCTTGTTTTTTTTTAGCCTCATTTGGTTCATTAAAAACAGGAAAGAATCCACAGAAACTGTAAACTGCTGTTACAGGCTAACTGTTAGCAGTCACCTGATGTGTGTTTTGGAGGTTTTCATCAGCATCTTCATGCATTTGAAAAGGCCTGTTTTAATAGTCGTCCCCTAATTGAAAAGAAGGAATTCCTCTGAGCTTTAGGGATGAGACCAATAAAAAAGGGTAATTTCCCTTTTGCTTCATTGCTGTACTAATTTGAAATGTGCATGAACACCATGTCTGCACATGAATACGAGGGAGGCTGCAACACCGTCAGGTTTTACGTGAAAGATCACACCCCGTTGTGGTGATTTATGCATGTTTTTTACACCAATTTCCACAAATGCCTGCAATTTCTTCCTTCTTTTCACAAGTCTTTCACAAGCCAGTGGTTTTTAAACAAAGGTTTCAACCCCAAACTGTGGAATGAAAAGAGAAATTCCCCAGCATACGTTTCAACTGGGCCATTACAAAGGACTTTTCTTAATATTCTGCTCAGTATTTCTTTAACTTTATGTTTTTGAGCCTAAAACTGCCCATTTTTCTTTATTGTTTATATTTTTAAGCTTCTGGTGTTTTGAATAGGCCTTAATACAAAAATAAGGTCACGAGTCTCTTGATCTTTATTTAAATGTTTGCATTCACAGTTTTGTTTGTCTAGATTAGCGTGTTTAATTGCATAGTATGTGTTTATAGTGAGATGTTTGAGTTTTAATCGGATTTTGGGAAACCAGGGAGTCAGCTTGGCTCTCAAGGCTTAATCAGCCCCTCTTTTTTATCCCATTACACGGTCAGAGGAAGTGTTATTATTGCCAATATTTGCCCAGTTGCATCTCTGTTTCCTTTGGAGGGTAATTTAATTTTTTAACTGGATTAATTTAGCTGAAGTTTGTTGTGATCATAGAAACTGAGGGCTGATTTCTGGTCTGGGATTTAGAGAGCAAAAGCTGGTGCCAAAGCAAGGTGCCAAAAGATGTGTTGTTTCCTTTTCTGTCTCTTTATACTGAAAATAAAGGCTCCGGGTTTTATTTCAGCCAGTCCACTTTTATGTGGCTCATTTAAAATCTGAAACGACACAGATGCTAATGGGGGGGGTTTCAGTTTCTCTGTGTTGGCTGTTAGCTGCTGTTTTATTTAACCTGCTGGGAGTCCAGGTCATTTATGGTGAAAATAAAGGGGAGTTTGAATTCTTACAAATGATATGACAGCATAATGTTTGTTGGTTGTTTTCTCAGAACTGGGTAATTATTGAATTTAACAGTACTTCTATTCCCTGTATGAACTTGTTTGCTTGAAGAATAAATCAGTGGTTATTTATACACCGTCGTATATACACGACTGTTTTGCGTCCTTCACAGACTTTTGTAAAGCTCCTGTCTTTTTTTTCTGTATTGAATGGATGATTCCAATAAAACACATTTTCAACAGAGACCCATTTAAAAGGTTTATTTCTGTGCGGTTTTTGTTCTGAAGCCTTTCCACTTCATTAATTCAAGCCCAAATATTTTCTATTTGAGCCTCCATACAGGATTAGGAAGCTGTTCAAAAACACGCCTTATTCAAATAGACAGAAATATGTGATAAAACAGAACCCCTTCTGACCCAAAACTGCAGCACTTTGACTTTATTTGAATCACACTGAGCAGAGATTATTTCACAGTGGTTTTACAGCAGAGTTTTAGCACTAACTAAAGTGACTGTAGTGTAGGCTGAAATTCTACCATTAAATCAATGCTTTTTTTTTTGTTGCTTTTTAATAAGGATTTCTGCCAGCTGTTTCCAGAGGTGCGTCTATACAACAATTTGATATTATCAGTTCAGAGAACACGTTCATTTTACATGATGCGCTGCGTTAAAACGCTAAAGTATTTCTTGGATATTTCTTTTAAAAAACATATCTGCTCCACTTTGAACGAACGCTAACATGACAGCTCTGATCATGTCATTTGTTCCCCCTCTGGGTAGTTTTAAGTGGGAAAAACGACCTGCAATCATGCCAGAAACAAACCTGCTCCAAAGCAGCCTTTCACAAAGAAACGAGCGCACAGTTTGACTAATCCGTGTGGACGTTTTGAGAGTGAAGAACAGCTCAGAGGTAAATCTGTGGCAGGTCAGATGACTGAGCAACAAAAACATTTTTAATTATAAAATGAAACAGCAAAAACACTCATTTTTCCTCTCCTTTGGGTTCCTGTCATGGTTTTATGGTTGAATCCTTTGTCCCTGTTTGGTTTTCTCAGCTTCATTTCCACGCCCAGCGGCTGCTAAGACTCACTCATCGGCTCCCCCGTTTGCCTCCATCAGTCAGTGTCAGAGCTCCTCTGTTACCAGGCTGGTACATGAGGACTGAAATCCAGGGGAAAGTACACAGAGAGATAGCAGCTCGTTCTCTCACATTTGGTGACCCGGGGTCTGTACAGCTCTCTAACTGGTTTTCAGTCCAGGCATGCAGCCAGAACCCGGTTGATCCGTATCTCCCCTTGAAGCTGTAACTTAGGAATGTGTTTCTCTGTGTGAGCTTCAGGCACTTTTGAAGCAGAAGGAGAAAGTACAGATTACGGACACATGCAGGTCTTTTGCACAGCAGAAGTTCTCCAGCTTCTCTTCTCAGTGAACTTGAATTCTGCCTTTAAACTTCGGTCAAATCAATGATGGTTTAACAAAACCATGTTAAAGAAGGGTTTAAAACACAGAACCACTAAAACAGGCCCAGCTGATGAAATCTCCACCTCCAGACTTTTTGTAACAGCTCAATATTCAGACCGAATGTCTGCATCCGGGCAGAAATGTTCCCAGCCAGATGATCTCTGTTGTGATTGGGCTTTTTTTTGTAGGTATTCTTTGCTTCCCACAGCTGTAGTATTTTATTGCTGAGCGTATAAACTCATCCCTCAGACACTTTACTGCTTTTCGGCTTCAGGATGCTGCCGCGGCCGTCTGGTAATTAAGGCCGCAGTAACTCCCAGCCCCGGACAGATTTCTCCCCCGGACGATAAAACGGATCCTTGTTACTCACAGAGATTCACGAGGGCGGCCGAACGGCCTTAAAGCTACCTGAGAGGAGGCCGTAAGCGCTTTACGACTGCTGTGGCCTCCTGTTGCAGCTCCACGCTGCGAAGACCTTCGGGTTCGGTGGAACAAATGCCAGGTCGTAAAGCAGGAGTGATTTTAAAAAAGAGAGAGAGTAAAGCTCCCCGGATCGTCTCCAAAGGCCGCTCTTCACCACAGTAACCTCTCAACCGCCCGGCTGGTCAGCGCTGACCAGGATGTCCCTTTCACGGCTGCTCAGACATCTTTCTGCCTCGCAGCCTCAGCTCAGGCGTCTCTGCGGATTGTTCACGTGTCTCCTTCTGAAACACTTCTTTTTCCATCACAGCTGTAACCTCTCTGCATGTAATCATTACAGAGTGGATTTCCCACCCGACAACAGCAAAGCAGGAAAACGCGGTCAAAACAAACCGTAGGTGTCAGAGTCGCACACAATTTACCGGAAAAATCAAAACCCCTGCATTGAGATTCCTGCCGAATTGTGTGGGTAAAAGAATCAAATCAACAGATGCTAACAACAGGATAAAGCCTCTGATGAAGCGTTAAGCTATGAAATAGTGTTTGGTGATCCTTTTGTTGTCGGCAGGGTCCCTGGTGTGCTTCCTTCCTCACGCGAAAAAAAGAGCAGAATACAAAGTATCTCAGAACAAAACAGAAGTATCCTTTTAGATTCAAGAGAACAGAGTGAAAGATACTTCCATCCTGAGTGTCTGGGTCTTTTAGGTGGGAGATAAGAAGCTGCTGAATCTTTTCCAAATCCATCCAAATCAAATCCCCTCACAGAGTTTCTCTGACAGTAAGGCTGCACTTTTCTTTTCTCTGAAATAAAGAATGAGCCGCTGAGAGGCTGTTGTTTGGCTGGATTTAGTCTCTGAAGGCTTTCTGACACTCCAAAAACAATTACAACTGGTCTTTTTGCTTGTTTTTCCTTGGATTAAGCCAAATATCTCCTTTCACGTGTCAGCGAAAAAAAAAAAAAAAAAGGCTTAACACCTCAGATAGCTTCTGCTGAGTCGTGTTTTTCACACACTGGTGAAATATCTGGACATCTTACTTTGTATCTCGTCTTGAGCTGTAGCAAATCTTGAATTTTAAAAGACAGAACACACCAGCTTTTTTTCCCTACAACTACCAATCCTGGAAGTTGAAGACCTCTCAGATTACATGTTTACACATCCATAGGAATAAAAATGTGTTGCTTATAGGCATTTTCTTTTTTCTAAATGGGTTGAAATACAAGCGTAAAAAAATCCAGTGTAATTATATTGAAATATGATTTAAAAAAAAACATGAAGGATTTAAAATGTCCTAAAGCTATCTTATCCATGTCAAGGTTTTAAGGGGGAGGAACCCCCATATAGCAAATACAAACATATATATCACTTAATATTATGAATATACAATTAGTCATTGCAGAAAGCTTTTTTTCTATTTTCTTTTAATAAAGTTAGTATAGTGAAAATGTCTGAGTTTATATTAAACGTTCAAACATGAAACATAGTGCGGGTTTGCTACATTTGATCTGCAAAAAATAAAATATAGCAATTTCTGTAATTATCTGATAAAAAATGCATTTAAGATATCTTCATTTTTTTTGCAGGGTTCATCCTTCATTCTGTACACTTTTAGCGCCATTTTGGGGCTCCCACACACTGTAAAGCAGCTGGAGCAGAGCCATTTGGCCCGGGTCGTCCGGGGCCGGGCCGCATGTCCCGGGTCAGACCGCTCTGACCCGGGAGGAGGTCAGGCCGCTCCTCCTGGGTCAGGGAGCTCCTCCCGGGCCAGGCCGCTCCTTCTGCTCCCGCTAAAAACGCCAGGGCCCTCCGCCAATCACGGCCCAGCCGGAAGTGACGCAGCCCCTCCAGCGCGGAAGCCCCGGCTCCGACGCGCCAAATTTCAAAGGACTTCCTCTCTGGAGGAAAGGAGGCGAAAAGCCGTACGGAGTCCCGGCGAACAACGGGGATAAAAGAGTGGGTGAAAAGGGGATTCGGGGCGCAGGTTGTGGCCTGAATGAGCCGGCCGAGCGACTCCGGACGTCGTTTTGACGTGAGTTTGGTGATGCGATCGGTGTGAGTCTAAAGGTCCGACTTTCATTTTGCCCTACAAGGAACTAACGTCAGCTAATCCCCGACGACCCAGAAACCTGGACGAAGAAAGCTAACAGCTCCAATAGTTGCATTTGAGCAGTAATCGATCCGAGATTGGCCCTAAAACCCGGATTAATTGTGGATTGATGCGGTTTCTCCAGCAAATCGGGCCTTAATGTGTATTTGTTTCGTTTTGCTTTGTCTGACGGTCCCATGATTTGGCAGCTGCTGCACGATGCAGACTGCAGGGTGCTGCCGGGGTGGATTTTCTGCCAATAGACGAAACATTTACGTTCCTACTTCAGTTTTATGATCATTTTATTGTTTTGATTAGCTTTATGTCATCTGAAGTGTCACATAAAAAAGCAAAAGCTGTTTTTTGTGCAGACACCCAGTTAAAATCGTCACTTTTAGTGATTTCATTTTTATTTTTTTTTCCTGTTTTCTTTCAGATCAGACAGCTGCTGCACCCCGCCAGGCGGCTGACATCTGGGATTTTAATCTCCCCCTACACACACACATGCAGGCTCATTTGACACATTTTCAATCCTGAAAATATTGAATGTCAGAACTTGAGCTGAAAGTTTCCAGAGGGCTTACTTTTCACAGTTTGCTGCTCCCGCTGTCCACCTCAGAGCAGCTCTTTATGCTCCGACACAGCCTCGCAGTCTCCACTCCATGGGGGATTCAGCCTGTGTGAGCCGGGGCTCATTTCCACACTTCACCGTCTTGTACAGTGCTCTAAATCCTCATTATTCATTCATATATGCACAGCGAGACGCCGGCTCCCCATTTGAATGAAAGCACCTGTTGCTGAGAGCTGCTGCACCTGCCGGCCGCCTCCACTCTCCCGGCTTTCAGCCTTTTGTTTTACGCCGGCGCTCTTTGTCAGACAGCCTTCGGATGTGAGGATGCTTCAGAGCCTGCTGTGACTCGGGGGGCCTGTGGCAGATCGTGGGCTCTGGGGGGGGGGAGGGAGTGTAAGCTGGCCGACGTGCGGCCCGCAGCCATGCTGTCCGGGGCGCAGCCCTGCTTCCAGCTGCTCCGCATCGGGCCGTCCACGGGCGACTCGGCCAGGGACCTGTACACCTTCCGGCCGGCGCTCAGCCGCTCCGTCTTCCGGCTGGGCCGCGCCGCCGAGCTGTGCGACGTCACGCTGGACTCCGCCTCGGTGTCCCGCATCCACGCCGAGCTGCACGCCGAGCGGGAGGGGGCCGGCGACGGAGAGGAGGAGGAGGAGGAGGTGGACGAGGAAGAGGAGGGCTGGAGGGTCCACGTTAGAGACAGGAGCAGTCACGGTAAGAGGAGCTCGAGGCAGGAACACCCACACAAAAAACAGGAAGCATCCCCAAATATTTTCCTCACTTTGGTTAAAGCAAAGTGAGTTGACTTTAATTTGTCTGCCCTTCTTCATTCAGAACCTGTCTGAATAGGCTAAACGCTCCCCGTTTTGGTTTCTGTAAGCAGAAAAACTGGAATTAGTGCAAATATTGCAGAGCTTAAAGTTTCCTCTCTGTTCTGAGCTTCTTTCTCCTCCATGTCTGAGCCTCTGCCAGCAGCTGTGAGTGCTTTCTGTGAGGAGTCTCCAGGAGCAGCTCCTCCCTGTGAGGAGTCTCCAGGAGCAGCTCCTCCCTGTGAGGAGTCTCCAGGAGCAGCTCCTCTCCGGGAGGAGTCTCCAGGAGCTTTGAGGCCACCAGGAAACGATCAACTGGAGGTCCGGATGCAGCTCTCAGCTCCTGTTCAGCTCTCTGCTGGATCTGTGTTTCTTCCTGGAGGACATCACTTTCAGATCCTCCTCATCTGCTAGATTAGAGAGTTTCTTCTTCTTTTGTCCTCCAGTTTTGTCAAGTGTTTTAAGGACACTGTGCTTAGCAAAAAAAAGAACACATTCCTCTGAAAACGATTGGCTACAAGGTCTGGCCTGAAAATGAGAAGGAGAAAATAAAACCCAGAAAAACTCTGAAAAACCTTCAGGAAGTTTGGAGGATTATTGCTCCAAACCACTCAGAAACTCGAAGAACAGAAACCTTCACTCTGAGCTGATTTGTGTGGCTGTCGCACCATTAACGGTGGATGCCCGACATCGTCCTGGGCAGGCCTTCAGCGGGTTCTGAAGCAGTGAGCGTCCACGGCAGCCTCGGACGTCCCAGTTCAGGGGGGGGCTAAAGGCGCCCTGTGTGCTGGCGTTTAAAATGGGTGCCTGCGGGATCGTGTCTGCCGCCCACGCCTCCAAACGAGTAGGAGGACTGATTAAATGCTGTTGTCGGGGGCTTCTCCTCTCCAGCTGGCAGCCGGTAATTTGCAGGTCTCATCGGGCCGCAGACGCTCAGGCAGCCGCAGTGTTCTTTAAAGCCTGTCCCCTTTTTTCTAACCGCGACGAGGGTTATTATCTCCGCCGTTGACTGTCAAAACACACGGCCGTCTACTGCTCCGATGCCAGCTCGGTCCTTATCGGAGGAAACGAGATCCCGACCGGCTTCAAGCGGCTTTTTTTATACGGGAGACGAGCTGAAAGCTGCTTCTTCCAGGAGCCCCTTTCCCTTTTTGCGTGTTCAAAATGTCCAAGTTCCAGGTCCTAAATGGAACTCTTTTCATGTTGGTCAAACAGAACAAAGAGCCAGAGGCTCCGTGCCTCGGTTTTTAGGAAAGGACGGCGGGTGTTTGCATCCTTTTGTTGACGGGTGCAGGCGGTGCCCCCCCTTGGCCTCACAAAGCCAAAGCACCTCTGGATCAAAAGTGCAGATCAGAGTGAGCACACCAAAGTGGATCTGGACAAAGCAGCCACACTATCTGCCTGAGTTTCCAGCTATTTTCACAAATTTTCCTCCTTTTGCTGTTTGTTGTCTGTGGCTAACCCCCCACCTCCTAGCTCTCCAGCTCCCTGATTCTACCTCCATTTCAGACAGTTCTAAGTCCCTCAAATTCAAAATTCAGAAGCCTTAAACACAAAAGAGGCACTTCTGTGCTGCATAACGCCACAAATATGACTGTGTTCCTCCACTCGTCTTTCAGTTTGAGCCTCTGGGAGTCTGGACAGGGGGTGCTTCTAGCTGCTAACCTCTACCCCCCCCCCCCTGTTGTCAGGCACCTGGGTCAACGAAGTGCGCCTCCAGCCGGGCATCCAGTGGGAGCTGTCGGACGGCGACACGCTGACCTTCGGGGGCCAGGCGCCCCCGGAGAACCCCGAGTTCTACTTCCTCTTCCAGAAGGTCAAAGTTCGGCCGCTGGACTTCGACGCCATCACCATCCCAAAGGTAACCCCCCGACCCGCTCGTTCGGGAGCTCAAAAGGTGAATCGGATAAGACAGAACACAGGTTTCTATTTGGTTGCTTTATCCTCGACTTCTTTGTTTAGTTTTAAACGTCCGGATGTAAAAACAGCTGACTGTGGAGCCTGCAGCAGCTGGACAAAATGCAGCTTTCCTGCAAAGAAAATAGAGATATTAAAGAAAAATATTGATTAGAATCTTCATAAATTATGTTTAAAACACCAATTAGTTTCAATTAAAGACTTTGGAATAAGTAAAGCGTGCGGACCAAAGATGGCGGGGCCTCTCCACGAACTGAGGAACTATTTGTGAGGAATACCGGCCGATATAGGTCAGTGGGTGTTTGATCTTTAGGAGAAACGTGCACAGATGGAAGATGAGGAGCCAGAATAGCTACACGGTCTTTCAGCTGGTTTTTACTGGAGCTCTGTGAGCCGGAAACGACGCAGATCGGGTCGTGGTTTGACCTCTTTGAAGGGGCCTCTGAAGGTTTCTGTGAGCAGTTTCGGTTTATCCAGCTGAGAGGTGGTTTTTGATTTAGCTCAACCTGAAGATGCTTCCACACGCTGAGTTTCATTCAGGCAGGTTTGTGCAGTTTATTCAAACATGATATGACCTACAGCGCCTCCTCTTATTTGTTTTTAAAGATAAATGCCCCTTTTAGCCGGGTCATTCAGTTAATCCTTAAGGTGGAAACCTGCCTGTTTCATGCCATAAAAGAAGATTTTGACCCGGTTCGGAAGCATTTTTAAGCGTTTGTAGCTACAGAATAGAAAGGTTCTGCCAAACGATGGTGTCAGTAGCCTCAGTTTCCTCCAGTTTTAAATGGAAAAGACGAACTAAAGCACAGAAAAACGTCTCCTGGTTCGTTGATGATGATCCGCCTCTTCCAGGGGGGCACCTTCTCCTCTGACCTGCAAAACCGGATCAGAACCAGCCTGGACCGGAAGGTGGCGCCCAACCTGGACATGTCCAAGCTGTCCATCAACCGGGCCACCGTCATCCTCAACTCCATCGGCAGCCTGAGCAAGATGAAGGGCAGCGCCTGGACCTTCAAGAGGAGCCACAGCCAGGAGGGCGCCGTCTCCGACCCGGGGACCTCCTCCTCGCCGCCCCCGGCCCTGGGCTTCTCCGGCCTGGCCCCGGCCTCCGCTTCGCCGGCCTTTTCCCCCGCAGCGCCGGCGCCGGTGGCGGCGGCCTCCGCGAAGCCGGCGCCGGCCGTCTCCAGGAGCCGGAGGAAGTCGGCGCACACGGTGCTGCTTGAGGACGACAGCTCGGACGAGCCCAGAGGCCGGAGAGGTACGGCTCAGCCAACCGGGGGCCTCTGAGGCCCGGGGGGGGTGGGGTTCTCAGCAGCCCCGCGTGCTTTCCATTCAGATAAACAGCTCCTCATTGGAGCCTGGTGGCGGGAAACATGGAAACCATGCGGGGCAGCTGACCTGAGAGAGGCTTCACAGTTTATCCTCTCTCCATTCTGCTAATTTAACTGAAATAGACTCGTTAGAAACGGCCAGCGCAGCCTGGGAGCCCCAGATGTGTGACGTCTGGGGCTGTAAGCTGAGCATGTGGCGCTCGGGGGTTCATGTGACCAAACGGTGCTCCTCTCCGTCAGCTGTGGCCGGAGCCGCCGAGGACGGGCCCAGGCCCCGGCCCAGGAAGAGGCGGAGGCTCTACAGGTCGGAGCCGGAGGGCCCGGGCTCGCCGCCCCCTCCCCCGCTGCAGCCCAAGGCCCACGCCGACGTCCGGAGGCCCCTGGCCGCCAAGCCCTTCCCGGCGGGCATCAGGACCATCGGCAGCTTCCACGGCGCCATGACCAACAGCCGGCTGAGCCCCCAGCTGCTGCCGGGCCCCTTCACCGCCGTGGCGCCCCACAGGCCCGAGGCGCCGCCGCCCCCCCGCCGCCTCAAGGCCGTCGTGCACGGCAACATCGCCGCCTTCCGCCAGCAGAGGGCGGCGGGCGGCTCCCCGGCGGCGCCCAGGGGCCGGCGGCGGGCCAACAGCTCGCCGGTCTTCTCCCCCCTGGTGGTGGGCGGGGAGAGCTACAGCCTGGCCTCGCCCTCGGTCCGGATCCGGGCGGAGGAGCGGGGCGGGGTCCCGTTCGGCCGCTTCCACCTGCCGCCCAGGTGAGCCGCCCGGACACGCCCACACACAGACCACCCCCCGCAGGGTGGGCCCACGCTGACCTGCCCTCTCTTCTTCTTCTTCTCTTTAGCAAACGGCGCGGCCGGCCCAGGAAGCACCCCCTCCCCCCGCGGCCCTCCCTGCCCTCTCCGTCCTCGTCCTCCTCCTCCTCCACCTCTTCGGCCTCCTCCGGCTCCTCCTCCGGCTCTTCCTCGGGGTCCTCCTCTGACGACGAAGACGACGAGGAAGAGGAGGCGGCGGCGGGGGGGGCGGCGGTGGAGCCCTGCGCGGCGCCGCGCTGCCGGCTGCCCCAGCAGGACACGGTCCAGTGGATCCAGTGCGACGTGTGCGACGCCTGGTACCACATAGACTGCCTGCACGTGGACCGCAAGAAGCTGCTGAAGGACCCCAACGCCGACTTCCACTGCGGCTGCCGCTGACCGCGCCCGGCGGGTGAAACGCCGCCCGCCAGGGGGGGCCGCAGTCAACGCCCAGCCCCCTGCTAGAGACACACAGTAGCAGTGGCTTTCTCCCCCCTGGTGGGCAGAAAGCTTCTGTCCAGACTCTTGAGGCAGGGGGGGATAGGGGTCTGCCCATGTCTCAGCCTCCAGCGGGAGAGACCAGACGAGGGGAGCTGGACCGAACGTTTGAGCGCCTCCCACCCAGCGAAGATTGATCTGCGCCGGGACCAATTAAGTCTGACATCTTTTTTTTTTTTGTTTGTTTGTTTTCTGCCTCTTTCCAAAGCAAATCAGCTCCAGGAAAACTCAATCAAAATGTTTTTTAGGGCACTTCTGCAGATGCAGCTGCTGGACTCTAAAACCTGTGAGAGGTTTAAAAAAATGAAAAAATAGCTGGATTCTTTCAGCTTCCCTCTGTAGGAGCCGCGTCCCGCCCCTGGACTCTTGTTCCAAAGCTGGAAAACGCCGCCACTCGGGCGCCGCCGGAGCAGAAAAACACGGAGTGAACTCCTCTCTTGAGCACCTTGTTATTTAAGTCCGACTAAAGAAGGGCCTCGGTGTGCCTCCTCACAGCTCTGCCTCTGGGCTTTGTTATTCTTTTAAAGACAGATATTCAGAGTTCAGCCACTCTTTGCTTTTATCTATGTGAAAACCTGCAGTTTTCAGTTTTTTTTGTTTTTTTTCAGCAAATGGGTGAAAAAAACCTTAAACTCGAACCTTCTCTGTGGCCCACGCTGCAATCCGCCTCGTTCCTCAGGCCACGATGACGGAGAATTTTCATACAAATCCACCGAGCACAGGCCGTTTGTTTCTGGCTCGTATTTTAATAGTTTTTTTAACATGTGACCTCTGAATGGGGTGTGATGAACCTCCCCCACCCCTCCCCCCATGCTGCTGGAGCCGGTGCGACCTCACCACAATCCAGGTTTTTAGCGTCTTCTTTAGCAGTGGTTCCTGGTAGAAAAAAAGTTGTTTTTTAGGTTGTGTTTTTTGGTGATTTGTGATGTTTTTTTTTGCGTGTTGTTTATCCTGTCAGAAGAGAAAAAACGGCGTTTGGCGTTCGTCCGCCAGGTCGCATCAAACCGAGTCGGGTGTGTCAGAATCAGCTTTTGAGAGGAAACGATTCACAGAAAAGGCTAATTCCGCCTTGGTAGGCTGAATTAGAAGTACCGACTCCAGATGTTTTCCAGCTGCCTGCATCGGACTCTGAAGAGCAGGAGCAGAACACACTTTGTGGAGTGCATCTTCTCGAAGTGCGTCTTCGAGAGGGAGGTGTGAAGCTCTCCAAAGTGGAGGCAGAAGGCTAAAGAAATCCCAGCATCCAGGTCCTTCTGTGTCTGAGCGCAGAGCGACGCATACCTACCTGATATTAGCCGGGAAATGAACAAACGAGGGGTTTTCTGGACTTTAAACTCCCTGCCGGGCTTTGCAGGCAGGTGTTGGCCCCTCTAAAGGCCCCCGGGCCGCACAGGATCGGCAGGTCTGGATTCCCACGGTCGTCCGACACCTTTCAGAGCCTCGACCCATTAAGCCCCCCCACTGTATCCACATTCCCGGGCAGAAATGATCAACCAGTTCATAGATGCAGTCATGAAGGGGGTCGTTGTCGTGTAAATCAACCCGTTGTTCATAACGCAAAGCTCGCAGCACTGAATCACACTGCCTTCACTTTATTCATCCCAAACGCAGCACAGTTTGATTTCTGTTGGTTTTCTGGGGTTGTACAGAATGAAAGCTTATATATATATATATATATATGTAGAAAATTCTCTGAGATGCCACAAGCATCAAAGTTATTGAAGAAAAAATAAAGAATATTCTCAAAATGTATCTTGGCATTATCTTATTTTTGTTCACAGGCTGAACTTTTCTCTCTTTTTTTTTATTAAAAGAAATGTCTTCTTTGCAGACAGGGAGGCTGTGATCAAAAGCACATTTCATTTATTATAGATCCCTCTGCATCCAGCTCAAGTAGAGATGGATGAAACCTTATGAAGTTTGTTTTTTGTTTTAAGGAAAATGACAGCGAGCAGAGATGGGACGGATCCTGATTATTTCCTTTGAAAAGGAAAAAAATCTGAGAGCTTTGACTGGACGAGCAAAGAGAAGAGTACTTTATTTGAAGCGCATTATCTATTTCAGATTGGATGCCGTCTTATCGGGCTTCTCCATGCGCGGAGTCCCAGTTACTTGTGGAAATAGACCTGAAACAAGATGACCACCAGAGCAAATACTGATATCAAAGTTTGATTTGCGTCCACAGAGATTTCCAACTTGTATTTAAAGGCACTCTGTCTTCTCATTGGACTAAATGAAAAGTCTTAAGGAGATAAGACTTTATCCGATCTGATCTGATCTGATCTGAAGATCATTTCATCTTAGAGTTAAGAAAATTAAGAAAACATCTGGTGCAAAAAGACCTGGAAGCTTTCAAACCTGTCGGACAGAACCAAAAAAGGGGCAGCAGACACCCCCCATGCGCACAGGAGAGGAAGCAAAATCCAGATCAAACAGATCTAGAGTGAAAAACCACAAATCTGATGAATGTAATAGTGGAAAAAGCCTTTGTTCGGAGCTTCCCCGGCCTGATTATGTACCCTGTCAGAGAGCAGACGTCATTGTCTGACGGCTCAGTTTGAGCTGCCTGATCCCGCCAAACACCTCCAGGATCTGAAGAGGCTTTCATCAGGAACGGGCGGCTGGAAAATCCACAGAAGTGATGCGTTGAGTCGTGTTAACATGGAGCAAAACATCAAACCAGGGCTTGCAGCGCGTCTCCGAGTTCAGACTAATTACAGCATCACACGGAAATGCAGACGTTCTAAACTAACTTCTGGTGGTTTTCAGCTAAATGAACTGCTGTGCGTTCCCTTTAAGTGGCCAGTAGATTCAAAGTAAGCGACCAGTTTTAAAGATAGATACACACAAGAGAGGAAAAACCAAAGAAAATCATTATTAAATGTTCCCAAGCTGTAAATATCGGTTTGAATTTCACATAAACGTGATTAACTCGGCCTACAAATATGAACTTCTTTTGGACTTTGGACTCAAGGGTTATTTCCTCAAAATGTGGCATTTTTGGGTAAAATGTTGGGCTGATTTGTTACTGAGGTGACTCGGTTTTGATCCTTTCAGCAGCAGCCAGCTGCTTGATGTCTCCAACCACATTTTTCACAGCCTGAATCTTGTGAATCTCAAACACATTTGCTTCCTTTTTCGGGTTAGAGGAACGAACAAGCCTCTTTCTGTCTGCCATACGGGGACATGGCTATGTGGGGTTGAGGCAAAAGTGATTATTTAAGTTGAATTTTTAAGCAATGTGGAAAAAATATGACAAACACGAGGCCCACCCAGGTCCACAAGCACAGTCCCTGTATTCTGAGCAATTGGCTGAATAAAAGGTTGCAGTATTGGCAGAAAAAAGCCGAACTGAGTGTGATTTCTTAAGATTATTCAGCCACAAAATAGCGTTTTCAGGTATTTTCTGACACTCTTGTAATTAATAGGAGTAATTTATTTCACTTGAAACTTTCCCTGGGTTGAAAAATCCCTCGAAAGAGTCACTGTTTGTCACAGCCTGTAAAAATTCTGTGCATTCAGCCATTCGCTGCTGGGAATCTGAATCACCTGTCTGTTTGCGTTGGCTTCGCTTGCGTCGGATTAATGACCCTAAAACATTTCCTCTGAGCCATAACTATCCAAAGTCTGAGTTTGGAGTGTACAAAATGAGATATGAGCCCCTCAGTCCCACACGCGGGATATGAAATTACCCCATATATCAAGCCGCCTGTTAGTAATTCACAAGTCCAGGAAAGCTATTTTGCCCCTACAGGCCAGTGGGTAGTTAGGAAGGAGATGGAGAGATTATGGAGCTGTTATGCCCACTGCCTTGACCTGCAAAGATGGAGGGAGACAATTACGATTGTCTGAGCTGTTACCATGGCGACGCTCCTCTCGGTGCCTCTCCGTTTGTTGTCATCGGTGGGCTGAAGGAGCCGGCCAGCGCAGGGTCCTGCAGCCAGAGCCGACGCCTCCCCCCCGCTGACGATACAGGGACTGTATGGCAAAGCTGATGCTGTTTGGTTGGAACTGGAGGAAGTAGAGGTGTGTGTGTGTGTGTGTGTGTTAGAGGATGCCTACTGGTAATAAGCGATGGTGCTCCCATTTATTCCCGGTGCTGGAGGCAGAGAGGAAGGTCAGGGCGAGATGGCAGCAGAGCCCACAGTTTCATCCAGCAGCTCTTTGGACTGCTGCACACACACATGCACACACACTCGCCACCGGCTCCCTGGCTTTGTAATCAGAGCTCTCATCAATAAGCCTGCGCGCTCGATAATTTGGAGCTTGTGCCTGACGATGTAACGCTGATGAAACATGGAGCCTTTCAGGAAGAATCTGCCCTCAGTCCAACCCGGGAAACAGGTGCGCGGGTAAAGAATGGGCCCAAATCCTCTCCTTTATTTCCTTTTTAATATCTAGATATTAAATTTTTATTGCTTTACATTGGAACACAGTTATCAGTCCAAATTTTTAGGGTAAAATGAAACAAATCCACTTTCCAAACAAATAATCAGGCAGCTAAGAACACGTTCAGGGAAATGTCATCTGCTTTATTGGATAATTTTTTATTTATTTGTTTGTTTTCTTTTTATGGGTGTGTGTGGGGGGGAGTAAAGGAAATAGAAAATTCCAAGAGGTAAAGTTCAATAGCATTGGAGGAGAGTGATGGTTGTAGTTAAGAATTCATGCCTTAAAGGGTCTAACTGACTTAATTTAGCTAATTCTAATTAAAAATTGCAGGGTACTCAGGCCTATATTTACGTGTTTATTAAGAAACAGCCAACACTGCAGCAAGGACAAACTCTGTTGATGCCGTTGTGATGTTTTCATTGGGGGGGAGTACAAATGGTGCCTTCACAGGATCTGCTGGGTTTCTGTGTGTCCGCTTACAGGCTGTTGGTTGGGCTGTGGTTTGCGTG